TCAAGGAAATGACAAAGGTGTCAAAAAACAGTTGCAATTGACTTACGAACACCTGAAAGATGTTACGACTGCAGTTGTGTTTATGTAAACAAATAATGCAATGTGACAAATCATTGTCAGACAATAACAGCACGTCAGACAATCTGCACATTTCCTAAATAAACACAAAAATCACCAGCCCATACAATAGAGTGGAATGCCTGAGGAAACTGCTCAACACCTGTCTGCCTTCAAGACGTGAGGAACACTGTCCCCTCAGTCTTGTAAATAGGAAGTGATACACGGAAAAACACAAAACTATTGCCGTAACATCGAAGCCATTTTCAGCTACAATGAAGAGGGGATTTTACTGGTGACCGGGCCACTTCCAGGGCTGCCAGTCTCCTATTCGCGCTTACGTCGGAAACAGCAGGTGGAGAGTCGGAGTGCAGACGTATACATGTCCGAGACCGGTCAATTGCAGGAAGTTGATTCATGTAATATCCGGGTGAGGTGCTGGCCAGATGGTCTACGGCAGGGGTCCTAGAGAGCCGCAGTCCTGCAGAGTTCAGCTCCAACCCTGAAAAAAAAAACTCACCTGCCTATAGCCTTAGTAATCCTGAAGACATTGATTATCTTGTTCAGATGTGTTTGATTAGGGCTGGAGCTAAACTCTGCAGGACTGTGGCTCTCTAGGACCGAACTTGCCTACCCCTGGTCTACGGTAATGACAGTCTCCAAAACACACTGTAGTAATAGAGATTGCCTAGTACCTTTAAGCTTCATGATATCCGGTAATTTCGTTCCAATGTTTATCATGTCGACTCAGATTAGTGTTCCCATGTGTAAAATGAACCTTCCTCAGAGGAAATCAGACCTTCTAAACAATGATGAATGGATAACTTTAATGTAGATTGTGCATTCCCCCTTCACAATCATGAAGATCCAAGGGGAATATACAGTCAGCACATCCATTACGCTGAGATCACCCTTAAAACGCTTCTGATAATAACAGAAATGTGAGAGCCGGTGTTCATGAGCCCTATTTCTGAAATACTCTGCCTGCTTGTTGTCTCTTTTAATGGAGAGGATTCAAAAAATATTTTACTCAGGCCAGTGCTTTTGGTTTTGCTTTAGGACCCAAAAACAGAACCAGATCAGTTCTTTATGGTACCATGTTCAAACACTGATACATTTTTTTAACATACATTTTTCTATTTTAAGCTACTTTTGTTAGGTATAAATTGCTTATAATAAGGAAAGCAAACCTTTTAAGAAAATTTCGATTGATTTATTATTGATTATCAATGATAGCTTTTGAAAGACATTAATCTCCCCTCAGGGACTTCTGTACTGAGAGTTCAGTGCGTTAGTGTAATGTGGTTTTCTTGAGTTTGCGCTTGTCTCCAAGTCTTGCCTGCGTTTTTACACCACCCTACACTGTAACACTGGGTATCTTATTGATTCTTCAAATAGTTAAGAAAAAACAGCTGACATTGAAAGCTGTATTTTTCCAATCCAAACAGACACATTCAAATGTGAGTGAATATGGATGAGACAGCACATAGAAAAACATTGCAACTTCAGTTACTCTAGCAACACAGGATTGTTACTATGCATTGAGAGATTGAAAGATTTTTGTTTTTTCAACCTTTGCCGATCTTCACACAAAAGCAGTTTACACTACAAACACATTTCAAATCCTAATTAAATGATCTACATTTTCCAAAACCAGCATATTAGCATAGAAAATGATGAGTGCAGATAGGAACATTTCATCCAGAAGTTTTTCATCCTTTTCCTGTTTTACAAATGACCTTTCAACGACTCTCAACAGTGAGTCTAATGAAAAGCACAGGTGTTGCGAAAAAAGAAACAGAACTCTAGTTCTGTCTTCATTGAAAGCATGCCAAAATGATTCAAATTAAATTAATATTACTTGCGTTTAAAGGGATGGTTCCCCCCCCCCCCCCAAACCCCCTTTATTCCAAGCCTTTAGTTAATCTTCAGAATACAAATTTGGATGTTTTTAATGAAACATGAGAGGTTTTCTTTCATTTAAAGGTTACTAAAACTTTCAAAAAGTTCAAAAAAGCTTATAAAACTGTCTTAAAATGAATTCCTATATTCATTTTCATAAGCTTTTTTGGATCTTTTAAGTTTTGGTAACCTAGACTTTCAATGAAGGTACAGAAAACTCTCAGGTTTCATTACAAATATCTTAATTTGAAGTGTTTGGAACAACATGAAGGTGAATAAATGATGACAATTTTCATATTTGGGTGAACTAATTTGTTCTAAATGCATAACATCGTCAAACATGAATGATATCTCAAATTGTGCAGCTTTTTGAGTTGTGTTTTTACTTTCCTAATTGATTAGACATTGATTTTCACCTGGCAGACAATAAAACAGGCAAATACATCAATACCGTAAGCACTAGAATATCGTAGAGTGGAAATTGGCTCTTTTGATTATAGATATACTAAGATTCCATCAGTATACCTCATAAGACTCTACCCAGAAATCCTAAGTAAGCACTTAGTAATGGCATGACAACCTAAAACATTTTTGAGACGGACAGGCACTACTCAAATTTCCCCTATTTTGAAAAAAGATAATGGTCATGTTGAGATATACTAAATAGCATAATTCGTTTCAAAGCTTTTCCGGGCTGAAAGCTCACTGACTTCTTCCATTTGGTTGGCGCCCAAGAGCAAGTGCTGTGAGAATGGGGGGTAATCTGAGGCAGCGGAACTCGCACTGTTTGCTGACACCATCTAGCAAAGTGTGCTCTTTACAATAGCACATAGAGGCCCTGTCAGTCAACATGGCGTGAAGAATCTCCAGCCTGTGCATTCCAGCGCTACTGCAAACACCACATACTTGTATATAAACGTTGTGTGAGTAAGGAAAGAATCCTTACACCTCAACCCATGGCACAGCCCTAAACCACACACTAATAAATAGGCATGCATACATGGTGAGAGAACATGGAACAGTACATCTCCATGCATCACTGATTTATTGCAATAATACAGTCTCACATGTCTTCTTATGAGTGTGCTTCACTGTAATTTAGGCTACTTCATAATAATACAGTGTACTCAGAGAAAGTCTGTTTGTTTCTCAGGGTGTCTATTCTGAGCTTGTGCTTTTTCTGGTCTGAGTGACTGTGGACCCCATACAGCTTTGCTCAGAATGCTACTTTTGACCGCATAAATCGTATCTGAATGGACCAACATCAACATGCATACTTTAAAGTTTGGGTATTGTTTTATGACATGATAAAAATGGCCAAACCTGTAGCATGAATCAGCTTGAAGTGGGGAGAATGAAATGGGAAATGCAGTCTTTTTTTAAACACTGAGGGTGTTTAAAAAAAAAAATCAAAACACCATTTGGATCTTATTCTGTGTAACTATGCCCTTTATTTATATATATATATATTTTCTTTCCCTCGCTTCCTTGTGTTTTTTTTTTTCCAAGATGTTCCATCCCACACTGATGTAGTCGGGAATGAGATGCAGTGTTTTGTTGTTGTAGGCTTGTAGGTGTTCACAACAGCGAGCAGCAGTCGTGAGCAGCGTTATCCACGTTAGATTTATCTCAAGGGATGTTAATAGTAAGCTTCAACTAGTTTTTGATATATATATATATATATATATTTATATATATATATATAATTTTTATTTTTTGACAACATGAATTCAAAGTATTGATGAAAGTGTACCTCTGGGTTGTGGAATATTGGTGCCTTCACGTGTTCGCTGGAAGAATGGCTATATATGTCACATTCAAGAGCTTTATGGCTGGAGATATTAGGAAACTGATAATAATGATATTTTGTGCAATATATGCTCTTTTATTCATGTAAAAATGTACAATATACAAACAGTTACAGATATAAATAAATGTATGTTACTGAAACTGCAGCAGCTATTAAGATAACTTTATTTAATTATAACAACAACAACAATAATAATAATAATAATAATTACCATTCACAACTTAAAATGTCCTCCTTTGCCATTTAAAAAAGTTATACTGTTGGTAATCTCAAATCAGGTACCAAAATATAATCTGAATTTCCTGAATATTATTGCTGTTTTATAACTGCAACTTCCAAGTCGGCAACTCATAAATACAATAATTCTGACAGAATGTAAAGCATATCTTCTAGATGTGTGACTTTCTCAAAATTTAGAAGAGTTAGCCTACATTGTTTTGAACAAAAAAAGTGCTTCATTCATGTGTTTTGTGGGTAACACTTTGCCTTACAACTTTAATGCACTGCAGTTAACATATACAATTCACTAATCTTAAATCGTGTGAATCTCCACATTTACTAAAACATTTTTAAGATCTGTTAACATTAGTTAATGCACTGTGAACATGAACGTTAACGTTTTCATGAACTGAAGGTTAATAAGTGCTGTGGGATATTTTGCTCCTTGTAAGTTTGTGTTGATGCATTAACTGTGGTTAACAAATGAAATCTTATTGTAAAGATCTCATTAATGTATTGAGAGCAATAACCTATATATCATCATTAGAGATGAGATTTTATTATAAAGGTTTAAAACAATGAAATAATGTGCTTAAAATCATTTGTGGATCAAATTTAGATGTTACCACACCGGTAACAAGTCAAAATGTTATTTAACATCACTGAATCCACCTAAATAGGCTATATTACCCCAATAGAACTACATCTAATAGAATAGAATAGAGTCCTTAATGTAACAATTGTAGGTTACCACTTTTTACAGGGCATTTTTCACAGTTTTTCCCTACACATAATCAGTGAGAAAAGTGAAATAAAGTGTGAGATGTGAGTTCATGGAGGGGAGGGCAGTGGGAGGACAGTATGAACATGAGCAAGGCTTCGGGAGGAGGAGATTTAAATGATCAACTTGTTGAAAGGTAGTTAGGGCGCTCATATGGAAGTGTGCCACTCTATTTGGGAAATGCGTGAGCAGGAATCTTGCACTAGGAAACAGACGCTGGATCTCCAGTGGCGCGTGAGGGCGATTAAAACCTGCAAGCTATAATTTAAAACACGGTTTACTCCATAAGGACCTGTTTTAAACATTTTACCGGTGGTATTTGCGTACATCTTCCGAGGGAGATCTAGATTGGATGCAATTAAGGGACGTGTCACCACTGATATTTTATGAAACCAAAAAGATAACAACATTGCGAGTATGTTGAGCGCATTTTCCGGATTGTTTCATTTTATTTGATATCTTTGAGAAAGCAACGCACACTTTACTACCGACGCGACAAGGCACGAACTTGCCACCTAGAACCGTTTTGTGGAGTTTATGGTGAAATTTACATATTGACATTACCATTTGGATGGACTACTGTTTGGATTTTTCTACCATTAGACTTGCTTTGGCATTCGAGATGGGTTATTTGACGGCACTGTTACAAATAGTTGCTGCGGTCCAGTTGAGCCTTTTACCTGCACAGGTGAGCATATGGGCCGTCCTTTTTTACACTTAACCTGCATAAATGATAGCCTACATCACATACGCTTCAAGCGAGTGATGGTATGTTACAAAACGAGAACGCTATTTTAATTCACTGAACGAGGCGACTCGATCCTAGCGTTATAGTTTTATCGCCTATCTAGAGTGCGAGGGAGTTCACAAAAGATGTGAATTCTTTTAATTCGTTGTAATTCGTAAAGCTCATCTTGCTACGTTTTTAAACAACCATGTCAAATTAAAAGTAATTAAACTGTACAAAGATGGAGAAAAACGTGTTTAGAGACCATTCTGTTGCTCAGTTTATGAACATACTGTAAGAACGCGTCCAGTGTGAATGTCCCGTAATGACCCTTGTGTGAATGTAAGCCTGTACACTCTTAAAAATAAAGGTGCTTCACGATGCCATAGAAGGACCTTTTTGTCTAAATGGTTCCATAAAGAACCTTTAACATCTGAAGAACCTTTCTGTTTCACAAAAGGTTCTTTGTGGCGAAAGAAGGTTCTTCAGATTACAAAAAGGTAAGAAAGAGATGGTTCTTTAAAGAACCTTTGACTGAATGGTTCTTTGTGGAACCAAAAATGGTTCTTCTATGGCATCGCTTGAAGAACCTTTTGAAGCACCTTTATTTTTAAGAGTGTATGTTAAACGTTCTGTGAAAGTAGCTTACGTGTTCATATCAGAGATACTCAATGATTAGGCATCCTTAATTAAAAAGAGAATGAGGAGGATTTGAACGTGTCTACGTGCAGTTGACAGTCAGAACTGGCTTAATGAATGGAGTCAGTTTACTTTTGACACGGCTTCCAGTAAAGCCTCCAAACGGCTGTTTTTATGACACCCTCTATAACTTGATCCCTTTTTGAAATGCTGGAAGAGAAAGCGTTGAGTCATGAAACGGAACGTGACGAACTGCATCACCCCCTTTAACCCACAGGCATGTGTGATACACTGGCGTGTTCTCCTTACACGAATGAATGCCAAAATCACCAGACAGTCAGATTATGTCTTTATATGCCTTCTACTGTTGTCAAAGATAATGAGAGACCAATTAGGCAGTATTAGTATGTCAAAGTCAGTTAAACGTTCTGTGAAAGTAGCTTACATGTTCATATCAGAGATACTCAATGATTAGGCATCCTTAATTAAAAAGAGAATGAGGAGGATTTGAACGTGTCTACGTGCAGTTGACAGTCAGAACTGGCTTAATGAATGGAGTCAGTTTACTTTTGACACGGCTTCCAGTAAAGCCTCCAAACGGCTGTTTTTATGACACCCTCTATAACTTGATCCCTTTTTGAAATGCTGGAAGAGAAAGCGTTGAGTCATGAAACGGAACGTGACGAACTGCATCACCCCCTTTAACCCACAGGCATGTGTGATACACTGGCGTGTTCTCCTTACACGAATGAATGCCAAAATCACCAGACAGTCAGATTATGTCTTTATATGCCTTCTACTGTTGTCAAAGATAATGAGAGACCAATTAGGCAGTATTAGTATGTCAAAGTCAGTCTCAGACATAACAAGCATGTGCTTTTAAGATATAAACAAAAATTACATACTGTCTATATTTTGAAATGTCAAAATGTTGAATAAGAAGATCATTGTCCCACAGCTCAAGGTAAAGTATCGCACCTCATGTTCTGTGAGATGGCAAAGTCGAGCTTTAAATGTTGGCAGGAGAGTCCACCTCAACATTCTTATCTATTCGTCCATAACAGAAAAGCAGCATGCTTTGAATAATGATATGTCATTGTCTTCACAAATGGGCTTTGACATGTTTGGCTTGTTAATAAGGTGTAGCCAAACATTGTTATAGACCACTACAGTTCATTTGTGGAAGTGTCTTGACCTCAAGCTTGACAGTTTATCACTCACATTATCTTTCAGCTGAATATAAAACCTCACATCCAAGAAAATAATCGAGAAGATAATGGTTTGCTGCAAATTTGAAGCTTAAAAAGAGTAAAGATGAACATTAAAAGAGTGTAAATTGTATGTTGTCATTCAATATTACTCCTACTACTGGCAGGTCAGAACAAGGTTTATCGGGCGTAGTAAAACCAAAAACCACACACTTCTTCCGGACCTCACACATGACTTATGCCTCCATTCACTTTTACCAAATGCACATATTATCATATCACTGGCCGTATACCAGATGTGGGTGCGCCAGAGAGTGTCTGTCTCCTCTTGTCTCTTGTGCTTGCGGCAAAACTTTTATTTCAGGAGTTGCAGGAAGTTGGCAAACACCGGCTGTTACTGATGCTGATGATTATTGTAAAAAAAAAAAAAAGGTTCAATTAAGCACTTCCTCTGTAAATATGAATGGATATCTTTCCATCTAAATGCTCAACAAAGTAAGATTCATTTCTTATTGTTAAAATTCACGTTGGTATTTTTTGTGGGCATAAAGTCAACAATTTCAAGGTACACATTTGCCCTGATATCCTAATTAATAAAATAAGATCAAAGTTCATTAAAATAGATAATTTGATCTTGACAAGTTCAGTTCAGCTAAATAAATACACTTTTTTTTCCAAAATGATTAACATATGTAAACTCACATACAACTTTGATGGCTGTTATCTTGAAGCATAATAGACCACATTAAATTTTAAGAGCATGTATATAAACTTCTTGACAAAAGGTATAAATGTTATAGCAAACCTTGCTTGAAGGTTTTGTGGTTTTGTTTGTGTGTGTGTGTGTGTGTGTGTGTGTGTGTGTGTGTGTGTGTGTGTGTTTGGACATTCACATTGCTTTTATGCAATGTGTACATCTCCTGTTCCTTCTTTGAATCTCCTGTTCTCTATTTCAGGAGGATCAGTATGAAGCAGTTTTGTAATGATCTCTTGTGTAGGGAAGGGAGTTGCTGTATCATTTCCAAAGTTGGATAATCGGCTCACAGATGGTTTCTTTAAACTTGAGTAAAATCTATCAGGGAAACTTCAGTGTTTGTGTGACACAGGTTAAAATGCTACACACAGCATAAACCTTTTCAGTATGGGTATTACATGGGATTGCACATAAGTATGTAAATGCAAAAGTTGTAACTACACAAATTCAATTTGACATTTATGCGTTACATAATGTGTCATCCTGCAATTAAAATATGTGTCACAATCTCAGGCTTGCAACAAGGGGTGCTAGTATAGGACTACACAGTTATCATGGACAAAATAATTCACGATAACAATATTTCCACAAAACCAATATAATGTCTGGAAAAAATGCTATCACTTAATTTCACCTTTAACTTTATTTTGAGTTTTCTTCTTTCTGGCCAGTGATGCATACTCAAAATTCAATGTGGGGAGGTGAAGAGAGAGTTTATTACCAAAACTGTACAAACGTGTACAAAAAAATGTAGCCTACTGTTGATCGACACTTCCTACAGACTGGAGTGTGTGTCATTTTTATGGAATCCAAAAAAAAAAATAACTCCCACACTGGCGAGCTAACTTTTTTCAAATTGTTTTCTTACTTTCATCCATCATCTCCTCTGACATGATTTTGTTCAGCAGTAACTACACACAGAGTCTTTTTTTTTTTCAATTTTATGATTAGTAGCAACCAGCATTAAGGTGCAATACTGCCACCTACTGTTTTGGAGTGTCACCTAGATCAGTGCACATTTTGCATGTCTCCTTAATCAAACAACTGATTAACCTCATCAGATCATTAGAGACTCAAAGCAAAGCTGTTTTTTTTAATGGATGTCAATAGCCATCCAAGTTAGCGAATTTAACTTGTGCACAAAATTGTAATATCACATAAAACGTTTGCCAATAAGCACCGTTTCCATCCAACGAGTCAAGAGAAAAAAATTGCCAATTCCTAATAAACTGACACTAAATATCACTAAGGAAAGTAGGAGAAGCCTGAGTATAATAATACATGTAATATATAATCAATTACTTGTGCCTCAGAGTGAGCAGACGAAACACAATATGCGGCCATTGCTTTCGGAGGTGGATGCTGCTGTTTGGGAACGCAGTCAAAGAAGAGAGTTTTGGGAAGCAATTATACAGGAATACTTTGACTATAGACTTTGCTCGGGCATTTAAGAATGACTATAACAATATTTCTGATGCTGTGCAATGAGATCCATCCACTGGTTAGTCAGGATGTGCCGTCCCATAGTGCAAAGTCACATGACTTTTTTGATGCACATGGAGAAATTAATTTTCTCTCATTATTCGCATTAATCTTTTTCCAGTCAAAACCCACCTCAAACGAGCCTAAAAACTTTTTTGCAAAGTAAGGAATTTTTTTTAATTGGCATTTCCATTACTCATTTCTGATGTGATACTTAAATGCACATAAAAACAGGGGGATGGAAACATAGCTACTGAAGGAGAGACTTAATTTAGCTGAATAAACTGCTTTTGTGAGAGAAAAGCATATAATTGAATGAATCAACAACCTTTCGGCTCATCTTCAACATGTTTGCCATAAAACACTCATTTTGGAGAGATTTTCAGACTTTACACAGGAAAAAAATGCTGTTTTTAAGAGTAGGATTCAGTTTATGGAACTTGTTATTAATTTCTGTGGTATCCGCAAACAGTAATTAACTGTCACACAACTCTGACAGAAACTTACTGACGTCAAGGCTGTGATGTGATTGGTTATCAAGGCACACATGAATGTTACACTTTCTCCAATGGTAGAGGCGCAGACTTTGGAATGTCCCAATAATAAGGCCATCTCTGCTCCAAGATCTGAAAGGGGTGTGTCAAACAAAGGAGACATAAAAACTGGAACATGGTTGGGAACCACTAACATAGATAGTTAATGGTGCTGGATTATTTACGCTGCATACTCTCTGAATAGGTACTTCTTTTGAATAAATAATAACTTTGGCCAGTTAAAAAAGAATGTTCTATATAGTATGCATGTGTGTAGTATAAATTTGATTCACCATGTTGTCATTGTCAAAGCATTCATTGGATGTGCACTTCAGAATCTGTAGG